AAAGTGGATTTTATCCTTTTGTGACAACAAATTCGTTAACGAGAGAAGCTCAAAAGATTTATCGACAAATTTTTTTTTTTAATAGATATCTATATCTTGTGTAGTTTGTCATCACTAATACGTATAATACTGAAAATACATATGACGCGAACAAATCAAAGACGACACAAACTACAATCATATATTAGTAGCATCATTGATTTTTTTTCTTTCGATATCACGTTTGAAAATAAATTAAAAAAATTGTGTGTACACACTTACGGCGGTGCTATATATGTAAACGAAAGAATCTTTAACATTTTATGAAGCATTCATATTTATTAGTATTAACTAGTATAAGAACATATACAGTACTACAATACAAAATTCCCGTAACACACGGAACATGAATTTTTGTTCAAACTTGACTAAAAACCGTTATAAGAGCACTCGATTAGGCGTTGACTCTTGGTGAGATAAAGCGTACCTAAACAGCTACAAATAAAATTCAAACTCTGACTACAACAAAGGTTCCGTTTGTGTAATTTTGTTTTCCTTAGTGTATGCAGTTCACTAATTGTTAGAGTGTGCGTTAATTATAGATTTAAAGAGCCAGAACATCTTTAATTAAAGAGACAAAACATCAGTTTAGAAAGCATGGAAGATCTTAAAGAACATGTTTTAAGATACTAGAAACGTTGAAACGATCAGTTCTCATTAAAATTCGAACATTTAAGAATGAAGAAAAGATAAAACCGTACGTTAAATTTAGTGGTACATTATGCGGCAATACGTGTTCTACAATAAGTCACAAAGGACAAAAACGTCCAAAACGTACGTCCAATCGATAAAAATTAATCCACTATTGTCATTGATGTGTATCTAGTTGCAAATAATATCTCACCACAGCTGTAATACACGGAACAATGTATCTATGTTCAAAGTGGACAAAACTTAACTTCAAAGCCGTTATAAGAGCACTCGAGTTCGTTCGGGGTTGACTAGATGGATCAGTTTCGTCCAAAAACAAATATATGTTTCTACGAAATGAACACGAGATATTTCGAGCAGCAATCATACCGGTTAAATTTGATTGCAAGAGATATTTCAACTCCCGGCAGCGGAAATTGTTTCAGTTGAAACTTTTAATTTATAGAGATAAAATTATTCAAATTTAGTTTTAAAACCATAATTTTAAAACAAATTTTATTTAAACTAAATCAAATCAATTATAACCAAAACCTAGCAGAATCATTTAGGTTGTGGTTCGGTTTGTTATATTGGTAAGGGTTTTGTATGGTCTACCCTGATATAAAGTTTCTTATTTTTTAGCAATACGTTT